CAGAACAAGTACGGAATCTAACACGTGTTTTGGTTCCATTGTTACAGGAAGAAGAGCACTGACTCCATTCTCCAAAAGGGAAAAAAACCGACCATTGACCATCAACTTAAAAAGTTAGATTAAAATAATTATGTTTCGAACAGAAACATGACAGGTTTAAACACCCTGTTACCAACTTCAATATATATGTTAAAATAGTTGGTGTATATTTGATTCTGATTCCTTTACTTTGGACCTGGCCTTATTGTTTTCAGGTTCTGAGTAATAACACGTTCTCAGCATGAGTGTGTTAAAAAAAAACCTTTATTGTTAACTCAAAAACGTTGTATACAATACAAGTTCAGAATGTGTTTTCTACTTAAATATACAGATTTTTTGTAAGGTGAAAACGAAAACTTCGAAGTTTCTATGTAAGCTGTTGTTATATCTGTATTTCAAAAAACCCGTGCAAAATCAGCATTTTGTATATTCGTTGGTCATGATAACGGTATTGATTTCAAATACAACCTAGCAGTGGGTCCTATTTTTACTGATTTATATAATGTCCATTGTAATGCCTTTATTTCTATATTTAATTCGACTAAAGATTATAACGTCTGCTCGATCAACACATATATGTCATGGAAAATAAATTCGTAAATAAATTCGTTTTATAAGGGATGCTTACTCTTTAGAGTCTGATCTAAGCTGCAGAGTATCTAGAGCTCAAGTGTTGTTATACTCTCTACAGAATTTTGTTCTGTTTTTTTATGATTTTGTGACCGATAATAATTAGTTATCTTCACTTATTTCATTATAAATCTTAACTTAAAGAAAAAAAATGTAAGAAAACAACCAGCACATGACTTGTTGTTGCATCTTCTTTCTTCACTTGCGGTTTTCAACCCAACACAGTCTTCTCCACCATGCTGAGGTGTCGGGTTGTTACATGTCCTATTTCTCGTTCTTTGTTGAATTCCTTCACAGCTTGAGCTGCATTGTGTCCATTCGCTGTATGGGCCATAATGTGACCATCCACCAGGAACTGGTTCAATTAAAATAATTTGAATTAATTTTATTCGCCTGTGTGACACATTTTAGGGCGTCTGTGGTAGAGTCGCGAAGTAGGAGGGCCGTTCAAAAAGTACGCGGACTTGTTGCACAGAAGGAATATTTGACGACATAATTGGGCAAAATTTCACATTAATAATATAAAAGAATCTTTACTTATACCGTAAATCTGGAAATTTTTGCTGTAGATAAATTTTTAGCAAATTTGCGCGTGCATTGCATTCGCAAAAATATTTTTCTTAAAAATAAATTACCAATAAGAAAATGTAACAAAGCAGTGGTCATTCGTAAAATTTTGAAACGTGAAAATAAATCAACAGCATTTTGACCGGAATTCACAAAATAAAATCGACGAAAAAAATTCCAGATTTACGGTATGTTCTTCAAAATTTCATATCAAAATGTTGTAAATTGGTATTAATTTTGAGTGATTTTTCAGGACATACCATTAAGTCACGGCGCAGCAAAATCTTCGACGTCACAAGCATTATAAAAAATATGCTATTGAGCTTTTATTTTCTCAACATTTTCCCTTGAGTACCTGTGTACTTTGAGTTACCTTATCTACTCAACATCAAAACACCATTTGTTGTCAAGCTTAAAATCTATTAAACAAGTAAAGAATATTCTTTTTTTTTTGTTTAAAAACCAAAAACTACTAAGGAGATATAATGTGATAATTGGTTACTCTCAAAAACGTTGTTTACAGTCTGGATAAATTTAACTTTTCGTCTATAATCTTCTTCCCGTCTTCCCGTATAGCCTTTTTACAGAGGTCTAACTGTCTAAAATTTCAAATTTGCTATTTGTGAGCGAATGTCACGAGTAGCCTAGTTTACTACACGTTTTATTATGCATATTTTGGATCTTTGATGACGGTATCTCGAGCATTACAAATATTTTAACATAAGTGTGGTGTGCCGTCAATTCAGGAGACGTCATTTTCATCGTCGTTTTCACGGGAATTACATCAGAGAAAAATCACTTTATTTCTGTTAGTACTTCAAATATAACGTCCGAAATCTAAATACATAATAATAGAACAATTTAAAGGTATATTTGAGAAAATTGTTGAAAATTATCGCGAATTTTAGAAAATCAATGAGTTAAATTTTTGAATCCGCATGCTTTTGCTTCAATTTTTTTGTCGTGCGCCGTACCTCTCCATCAACGATATCAACATACCGCTAATTTTAGTAGAATTTTTTTAGATACAGAAATTTTGCCCAAAATTTATTTGAATCTTTAAAATACATATTTCTGTGAAATTGTATAACTATATGACGTCTGTAAGAGTAAACAAGCATTCTGAGAGTATTGCATAAGCAATACATGTCCCCTACCGGGTTCCCCTTTTTCTTCAGGATGTCATTTTATAATATACAAAAGTCATGTCCAAGGTAAAACTGAAAGATTTTCAAGTTGTAAATTCCTTAAAACTAATAAAATAATCCACATTAAGACGAAAATTCAACTCATTTCTAGACCGTTTTTTCCTCGCTTCATATTTTAGTCGACAATAGGAAGTTAGCGCAGTTCGAACCCGATTTTAATTAAGCGATTATGAAAAATATTCAAAATGCCATAATTCTGTCAAAAATCAATGAAGCGAAGGGAAATTCAAACTTGATCTGTAACTCATTAAGATACACTCACATACCAAAATTCAGCTCAATATCTGCAAGCGTTTAGAAAAAAAGTGCGGAAAACCAAGTGGGACAGACTGACGGGGACAGACAGACGGACAAACAGACAGACCGACCGACAGACAGACAGATAGCTAGACGGACGGACGGACGGACGCAGAGGAAACCTATAGTCCCCCCGGTTTTACCGGTAGGGGACTAATAACACAGTCCGCGTAATTTTTGAACGGCCCTCGTACAACGTTGATCCTTAGGTCGCAGGTTCAAATCATTTTGGGACGAAGATATCGGTCCTTTTGATGAGACCATATAAACTGAGGTATCGGATTGTACGTATAAGATCCCTCACTGCTCAATGGCACATAGAGTAAATTTGCAGTTCTCCACTGGCAAGTGGTGGTGTCTCCACATGAATACAGTATACAGTCTTCAAAGAAAACATATAGATCTTGCACTTCGTTTTCGGTCTATCTACTTTTCTGTGGAGTTAATGATCGACCTCATGAGAGGGTTACATGTATATTTGTATAGAATTCAACTTGCTAATAACGTTTATATAACTTTGATGGTTTTATTTTCTTTTATTGTTTTTTTATAGTATATTCATAGAGACACGCCGCACTTCCTGTCTGACAGTTACATTTCTCATCTTAATTTAATTCAATAATACATCATTTTTTAAGGCACTTGTTCTGCTAAAACATAATTTCACTGCTAAAAACATAATGAAATGGTGAATATCAGACCTGGGCATGACTTTATATTGCATTTCCTTTCTTCTTTGAAGATACTTAATCCAACACAGTCTCTGCCTCCGTGTTGCGGTACTGGGTTGTTACATGTCCGATGTCGGATTCTCTCCTGATTTCCAGCTCCACAGCTTAGGGTGCATTGGGTCCATTCACTGAATGGACCAAAAAGTGACCATCCCCAAGGAACTTTTATAATTGAGAAAAAAAAAGGAAATGAGAAATCTATATTAATTTATTCAGCATCAATAGAACAAAAACGGAATAAAATATCACATTCGAATGATTCTCTGGGAATTATATTTTTTCAGGCGATTTGCCTCATTTCTATTTTTGTATAGTATTAATTCACAACAAGTCACTTTATATGAGAGCTACAAAATCTACGATTTTAAGAGTTGATTACGAAAAGGTAGAAAAGGTTAGAAAAACGTTAAGTTTGACATACAAGTGCAAAGCCAAAATTGTCAGGCCTCGTACTAAACAAAATTAAATTTACAATTTCTTGAGTAGCTAGATTCTTTACCTGGGCAAACAGGGCGTGTACAGTGTATGCTTTCTGTTCTTTTGCTAGGTCCCTCACATGGTTTACCACCAAAAAGAGGGGCTGGTTGAGAACACGTTCGAAAACGTATGTAACACAATTGGACCTTACCGTATATAAATTACATATTAACTTTTTAATATATGTTGTGTTCTTGTATTTGATTAAAATAGGACATATGTGTATAAGGCATAATAATCCTTATATGTCCTTGAGAGCCATTTAGGTTCTTACGCACTTTATTTCTATTTACTAATTATGTGTTTAATGTAGTCAATATTGTTGTAAATATTAATGTGAATTATTATTGGTCAGTGTTGATGAATTATCACAATTAAATCAAAGATCAATATCTGAACATTTACGTGGTCAGTATCCATTATTGGTATTTAATAATTAATTGAATTGGAAATGGCTTAATAATATTAACTGACCACAATCAATATTTTAATTGGACACTTGATTACTATCTACGATTAAATCGAACGGAACAATTCCATTAATGACTTCGAAACTTTCCAATAATTAATACCAGGATGATTTGAAAATTGAAGATATATATTCCAAGACTTGACAGGCGGAGAAGAGAACACGAACTTTAGACAAACCACTATACGAACTTTGCAGCCCCCTGTACTAGTTTGGCTTCCAGTGGATATATCAAGTACTAACTCTAAAATATTTTAACTGTACCAGTGCTGACAACATTGTTCTAACTGTATATGCATGAACGTTTATATTGTGCAACAGTGACATAATAAATATATATATATAACCGTATCCAAAGTCGTTGTGTTATACGTACACGTGTTTGAGTTCCTTTACCACATGACACAGTACACTGACTCCAGTTACCACAGGGAAGAAATTCAGACCAGTTACCATCAACTTTGATATAGATTTATGTATTTATTACTGATGATGAATTATAAAATCTAATTGTATAAGTATAATTACTTAACAGATAGTTTAAAACAAACGCCTAATATTACACCTGGACACGGCCTCATAACACATGTCTTTGTATCAGTAAGTATGTTTGTTCCAGAGCAATTTTCCCCTCCATACTGTGGCTTTGGATTATCACATTCTCTTGTTTTACTTCTACTTTGTATCCCCGTACCACAGGTAACAGAGCATACATTCCATTCGCTGTATTTACCAAATGCTGACCAATTTCCATCAACTTTCAATGCATAAAATTGATTAAAGTTTAATCTATTTTCACAATCCGTTTTCTAACGAAGAAAATAACTAAACTGTATATGTTTTCTCTATAGTTTTTATGCTTTACAGATACGTGAGAGAGTCTATTGGTAGTATACATCTTTACCTGGACAAGGCTGAATATTACACGATCGTGAGGATTTACTTGCAACGCTTGATCCTTTACAATCTGCGCCGTTCACGGAGGGACGAGGATTTGTACAGGTACGCCTCTCTTGTGCAGATTGTGTGCCACCTCCGCATGTTACTGTACAAGGTGTCCAGATAAAGGAGAATGGTGACCATCCACCATCAACATCTTAAAAGGGTGAGCATTGATGGAATTTTAAAATGTCTTGCGGACCTTTTTTATTATTATTATATCAGTCAAATTTACAAATAAAATATCGCTATAAACAAGGGTTGTTGAGAAAGAAGGTGGACAACTGTGACTTCTTTTTTTGTACTTACAGTCATATTGTGTCCAAATTTGGTAGAAATGTTTAAAAAAAAAAAAAAAAAATCAAATGTCACATTAAAAAGATATAAAATTATCATGAATTATCTTTAAATTATTAAGAAATTAAAATGCAAAATCGTATAACGGCTTAAGTCAAAGTATCATAATTAAATCACTAGACTGAATAAATGTCTAGTTATATCCTCTGTAAAGACTGCATAATATATACGGAATTTTTTGAAAGACATTAGATAGCACTTTATGGCATTTTAACCTGGTCCGTGCGCACTATCGGCGACCTTCAATGACCAAAATTTTTACACAATAATAAGTTCAAGAAATTTAAAAAAAAATTAGTTTGACCTGTTTCTCATAACAAATATTTTGTTATACAATTAGTATATTTTGACCCATTCGTTTTGAAAAAATAAAAACGTAATTGTGAATTATCTCTAATTTATTTAAAGATAAAAATGCAAAATCGTATAACGGCTTAAGTCAAAGTATCATAATTAAATCACTAGACTGAATAATGTCTAGTTATTTCCTCTGTAAAGACTGCATTTTATATCCGGATTTTTTTGAAATACTTTTTAAACATTTTATGGCATTTTATCCTGGTCAGTACGCAATGTCAGCGACCTTCAATGACCAAAACTTGTACACAATAATAAGTTCAAGAAATAAAAAAAAACCCAAATAATTTTGACTTATGTTCTCATAACAAATATTTTGGTATACAATAAGACAGTATAATTTGGACCATTCGTTTTGAAAAAAAAAACACCATTCTCCATGAATTTTATTGGACTCTATTGATCATAGTTTGTTTCGTTGAAAAGAAATAAATTTCAAAAGATAGATAGTCTCCCTTCAACAAAAGGCTAAGTGGCCATGTCGCTCACCTGAGAATCGGCTTAGAAAGCGCACAAAATTAATTAGATCAGAATTGAAAAGTTTACTGAGGGAGTGGGTGGAGGGGAGGGGTGGGGGGGGGGGGGGGGCTTGAATTCTAAGACTATTGAGAATGCCTTCATATCAATACTGCATATAACTCTGCTGTTCTTGAGCAAAAGATTTTTATAGATTTTTTAAACATTTTGTTTGTATACATGTATATTACTTTGTAATAATTTGAATTTGACTCTCCATTGTTCCTCTTCTTACCCCAAAGGTTACTCATGATTTCAACAAATTGAAATATTTAATACATCCGGGTGTTTACATTTCTATACGACTAAACATAGCTTTCCTGTTATTAGGATTTGCCCTCAATTTTCCTATGTATAACTTTGATCCATCATTGAGATTATACCCTACCTTTGTGAGTTATGATTTGAACAAATAAGTTTCTACAAAACCCGAGAATGCTTCCATTTAAATATCACTAAATTTGGCTTTATTATTCTTTAGAAGAAGACTTAAAAAAATTATAATAATATTTTAATGTTTAACTTGGATCCCCCATTGTGGTCCACCCTATCCCTTGGGGTACATGATTTGAAAAAACTTAGATCTACACTTTCTGAAGATGCTTCCATATAAATATCACTTATCACTGGAGAAGAAGATTTTTTAAAGATTTTCCCTATATATTTCTTTGTAAAACTTTGATCGGCCATTGTGGTCCCATCCTACCTCAGGGGGTCATGATTTGAACAAAATTTAATGTAAACTACCTGAGGATGATTCAACATAAGTTTTATCTTTCCTGTCGCTATGGATCTTGAAAAGAAGATTTTTAAAGATTTTTCCAATATATCTCTATATAAGAATTTGCTTGGCCATTGTGGCCCCATCCTACCCCAGGGTGTCATGATTTGAACAAATTGAATGTACACGACCTGAGGATGATTCCACATGAGTTTGATCTTACCTGTCCCTATGGATTCTGAGAAGAAGATTTTTAAATATTTTTCCAATATATTTCTATGTACATGTAAAACTTTGGTCGGCCATTGTGGCCCAACCGTTGCCCCAAGGATCATGATTTGAACAAACATTAATCTACACGACCTTAGGATGATTCCACACGAGTTTGATCTTTCCTGCCTCAGTGTTTCTGGAGAAAAAAAATGAAAGAGGGCATGGCTCTTCATTTGAACAAACTTAAATTCCCTTTACCCAAGGATACTGTATATCAAGTTTGTTTGAAATTGGTCCAGCGGTTCTTGAGTAGAAGATGAAAATGTGAAAAAATTACAACAACAACAACAACGACACGCCAATGACGACAGACAACGGACAAATTTGATAAGAAGATCTCACTTGTAAAGGAAAAAAGAGGACTCTTTGAAATTTGCCATGAATATTGATGAAAAATAAATACTACCCCTGCGAAATGATATTCATGATTTTAAGAACCTTTATGAGTTGTTCATAATTGTTCATGAATGGTTCTTAAAGGATTCTTAACAGGTTCATAAAAGTTGTTCATGAATAAAATTCATGAAAACATTCATAATTCATAGTTCATGAACAAATGATGAACAAATATGAATATTGTTAATTTTCAGTTTAAAGAAAAAAACTTAATAGTTCAAGGTAATGAATGTTCATGAATTTTCATGAAGACTAAAAATGTAAAAATAATTGTCACAAACGATCTCCAGAAAACACTCATTACTCCCATAATACAACTTTTGCATGCAGATGCAATTGTTGAACAAACCCCTGATTTAATTAATGACATGCTTTTGTTTTGATTTTGAAAGTATTGGATCAGAGACAAGTAGGAGAACATAAGAGGTTAAAATCACTATTTTCTACTCTCCGAATCGGTAACTTAGATTCTTCAGGATAATAAAACTCTGTTATGTACTGTCTAGAAGGGAAATTGTAATTAAATTATGATCGCAATTTAAAGAACACTGCATCAATATTGACAGCATTTTTTTCTCATATTGAATTACTAATGTTTCTTCATGATTTAAAATGGCCAGCTATATTAATATTGTGCTTTAAATTATCTCATTTTTCACGACACAACTTTGTTCGACCGAATTTTCTCTATTTGTCAAACTTTTAACAAGTTGTGAGAAAATGAAACAGACTTATAGTCTAGGAAAAATTTCATGATCTTCGTAAAAACGTATCTTAGATTTATTTACAGCTAAAAATCATATCTCTTGTCCGTACTATTCTTGGGTCAAACGCTTTATATTTTGATGCAGTTATCAAGTCACATTTTTCTGTCCATCGTGTGTAAATGATACAGCACAGGCTGCATGGTTGTGAAGTATCTATGACATGACCCACATTCGTATTTTGTAGTCTATTCTCCTATACACTATATACCTATACATAGCTCAGGGTACTCTGTTTGAGGGCGAGTGGTTCCCAAGATTTATTTGTTGTCCTCATGATATGGAGGCGGCCATACTTGAAAATACGAAACTGTGGCTCTTTAGGTATAATGTAAAAAATCCAATTCAATAAATGATTTAACTTATATTTATTTAAAAAAATTAATTTCAGTGAAAAAGCATTCAGATAGTGTTTGTTATTTTTTGTTTAACAACAATCTTGGCAATTCGAAACTATTTCTTAATTAGCTCTGCATGACACTTTTTAAAAGGCGCAAACTTTGAAACGCGCGAGACGTTGGAAAGTGAATCGGTAGAGTGGGAGGATTATTAGCGTAGATCTAGTCATTCTTTGTCAACCTTTGAAGAAAATAACAGAATATGAAGAAGGAATATCCAGAGGATCAATTTACTTAATAACTGCAGATATTAATGGTGAGTTACAAAAAAATGGAGGCAATCGTTGAATCTGAGATATTTGTCTAGATGTTACTGTCTATTTGTAAGAGTTCAGTTATGTCTTTTTTAATGAATTTTTTTTCAAACTGTGTTATGAGTAAGGATCCAACCAAATTACGTTACATTTAATAATTAAAGATTGAAAAATCCATCCTGTTCACCTAAAACATCTTGAACATGGAGGGCAAGGGAAACGGGCTAAACTCCCGCTCGGAATGCTTAAATATGGCAGTGCCTATGGTGCAGAATGAAATGAAACAATTTTGAAAAAAAAAATTGTCTTAAGTTTTCACATTGATGAGCATTTTCAGAAAATCTTTGTTCTTGTAGGGAAAGAGAAGCAGTTCACAGATAATGTTGATGAGTTGAGATCAGAAGATTAAAAAAACTCTGGCTGTCCAAAAAAAAATCCAGGATCTTGAAGAAAAACAAAAGAAAGGAATGAAAATATCAATCGTAATCGATCAAAGTATCCAAGTGATGAAATTCTGAAAATTCCACAGGGAAAGCCAATAAGATTTTTTTTTATTTGACCACCTCTTCTCAAAATCCTTGAAAGCCCTTTTAGCTGATGCCTTAATTGCTGAACACACTTTTCTGCCAGACAGTGAGACTTGGATTAAAAACCATTCCATTTTAAGCATACACTTTGAAATACGCTGAATAAAGAACCCACACTCCTCTTGACCAAGTAAGGTTAAGGATTCTGCAAAGAGTCGCGTTTGAATTTTTTCATAATTTCACTAGGAATGAACTACATAATTTATTTATTATCGATATCACTTATCAGAGTTGTTTACTTGAACAAAGATTTTGTTACCATGATTGGAAAACAAAAATTCTGTGAAATCTTTCAAGATGCTATTAAAATATTTTCTTTTTCAGTTTTTCATTTTGCATAATTTATTACAATTTTGTTTACAAAAAGCAAGAACATTCATGAATAGTTCATGAACATTCCTAAATAACTTTTACAAATTATTCATGATTAGTTCATGAAAATGCATTGAACCTATTAATATCATTCATGAAGTTTTCTTGAAAGTTCAAGAATATAATTCATGAAGTTTTCTTGAAATTTCAAGAATTATTCTTGATCATTTTGCAGGCAATTAAAAAATCCAAGTTTGTTCATGAACAACAAATAATTCTTGAATATTCTTGAACTTGGTTTTCATGAATAAAATCCATGAAATCATGAGTGTCCAATTTTAACTTCATGGGATCTTCATGAACAATTCATGAGCTGATTCAAGAATATAATTCCTGAACTTTTCTTCAAAGTTCAAGAATTATTCTTGATCATATCGCAGGGGTAAGGAGAAGTGAAAATTTTAGAACACAGTGATAATTATTTCTCATTCAGGAAATATTGTCCACGATTTTTTCGGACAACCCTCGTAGACACCTATTTGTTTTAATATCCTTGTACATGTATCTAGCCTTGAAATTATATAAACTGTAAGTTATTTCTACAGATTATGTTTAATATTGCGTGTTTAAGACACATTTTTACTTGGGAGGGGTTCCGGTAATTACTGTAGATTAAATACTGATTTATTTATCACTTGATCATACATTTTCTTCATGTATGAGTTTTATAATGATAAAAAAGTGCATGGAAAATAATATAAATCTGTCAATATCTTCTATTATTACACGTGAACATAAAACATATATTGAATAATTGATGTTTTGTAATATGTTTTCAACCAACTTACCTTCAACAACACAGTTTGGTTCAGCCAGAAAACAACCTTCAGCTTTGTTTATTTGTGTGCAAGCTGGATCTGATTAAAAAGCATCTTCCTGTTAAGTGCATTAAATTCAGATCGGACATAAATTGGTTTATTAGAAATATATAGTCCAGGAATCTCAGCTATAGCAGTAACTTTGAGCATATTTTTAAATATGTATATAATCATGTTTGAGAATTGGGTGTTTGAGGTTCATGCCATATTACATGTAAATGACAGATTACATGTAAATAAATAAACTTGCATTTATCATAGTGTGCAGCACCAAGCGTTACGCGTCACTGGGAGTTCCTAAAAAGCACTTGGACGAAGAGAAATGAAAATTCAGACTTTGCATGTTATCAAAACATTCTCTTCGCAGTTACCTGTGGCCCCATAATCTTCAGCAAATTGTAACTCGCCGCAAACTACGTTCTCGTGGTAACAAGACGTTCCACGATAAAACTAAACTAGCCCAGAAACAAACTAGATTTTAATAAATATATAGCAAACAAATAGTAGATTAAACGTTTTTGATTAAAGTTCGTTCTGTTCAGACATAGACTATGCATATACCAATTGTACGTGTAGTTTGAAGATCCCAATCTAAATCAAAAATGATTTAGTATATCTGCCTGGCCGTAAAGGTTGCACTTTCATCATATTAAATTCCTTAGTTTTTCATATCCTTATCAAAGTCTATATCAGTGAGAATTCAAATGTATTGAACCTATCTAAACACCCTATGCTGTTGATTAAAGTAAATGTGCAGCATAATTATAATTATGCATATTGGTCTTAACGCTGATCTTAGTAATAATGCCTCTGCTATTTTTCATTATCAGAACTTACTATAGCTGTTACTCTTACTGCTTCCCTGATATATCTAATAAAAAGAATGAGGAGAATAAATATAAAACGATTTCAAAAATTAACAATTAGTATCACACAGTGTATAAAGCATAATATTTCCATTTCTAATTTTTCTCTCTGTGATAAATCTTTGGAAGTTAGCGGAGTTAAGTTCTTGATAATTCTACCGGAATGTAAATTAGGGAGGTCAATAGGTCATGATCAGGAGCTAAGGAGGCCTAATATGCATGCAAATCTCGTGCGCATCTGTCTCCGAGTATGAGGCTAAGGAGGCCAAATATGCATGAAAATCTCGTGCGGTTGCCGTTCTGTTTGACGTCAGTGGGCGAGTACTATTGAAATTGGCATTGGAATCCTCGTGTAATTTAAATCTAAGTCTGCATTTTTAAAGTCTAAATCTACAATTTTATTTCACAATGAAAAGGAAATATAAGGAATCACTGTCTAGTTAGTATAGTATGCCAGGGACATCAACAAAAGTGGGAATCATGGGATAATTTATGCAAAACGGGCTTCGCCCGTTATGCAAATTATCCCATGTTCCCACTTTTGTTGATGCCCTGGCATACTCTACTAACTGGACAATGAGTCCTTAAATGTACCTTGGTAATTACAAAGACGGGATTAGATGCCTCGGAGGAGTAAGAATGACCGATCATATCCTTCAAGCCAAAAAAGATTTAGTGAAATGATATATTCATTAAGAAGTCATAAAAAAAGACAATGCATTTACGAAATGCTGACACTTAACGAAATAGTTGAAATCTCATCACCACCTTATCTTCAGTAGCTTGCCTCTTTCTAAAAAAAATGATCGCAATCAAAGAATGCTCTGAAATATCTAATAAATTAGGAGACATAAATACCACGTGCAGGCTTTGCTCGAATATTACTGCCTATATAGAGTGTAGACGATGGAAAAGCTGAAGTCCTTTCGTTTGTGATCCAATGTTCTTCGTAGTTAACACTTACTGTCTTCGAGCAGTAAAACACCAAAATTATTAAACTAAATGTGTTATATCTTATAAATATGTCATTTTCTTTGGGATATACTGTAAATCGTTTTAAGTACAGCTATTTATAAGAACCAGGCAGAAATGAAAATAAGTGATTCATGATGGTGATAGATTTTTCAAAAACTATCATACTTACATTAAGATACATCAAACTAAATACTTAATCACAGTTATAAATGGATTTCATGCATGGTTGATTAAAAAATGAATTCAATATATACTGAAACAGCCAACAATATCCATTGAAAGGTGTCTGTACATGCAGGTGATTTTTTAAGAAGGCCCGCACTCTCCTTGAATGTGAATTATAAAATAGTGAACATCTAGTATCAAAGAATAAAAACAATTAAAAAACCCATGGGTTATTTTAATTATGAATAGATATTGTGATTTTAAATTATGTAAAAACATGAAATTCTAGTTATCTCCCTTGGCACTCTTTAGTAAAAGGAGTTGGAAAAAGTGTATTTAACTCTTCAGTTTAGGAGGTGAGGATTAAAAAAAATTGTGTGATTTCATCTTCATTTTGGAAGTTTTGCCGGTTTTCAAACATCCAAGGGGCATGTAAGTCTAAAATTAAAAGAATATAAGCCTAGGATAAAAAAAATAACTGCCTGCAATTTGCTTAATTTTATCTGACAAAAACAAAATTTTATTTCCTAAACATGCAAAATGAGATCAGAGTTTGAGTGTTTTGAAAAAGCTAGCTTGTTTAACAATAAAATCAAAACTACTTAAATTTAGTTAATTTTGGGTTAAACATTTAATTTTGTACTGGAATTTGAACACTTGCTCGCTGCTGGGGAATTTAGAGTATGATGAGTATCTGTCCTTTCCGTCGATACTCCCTTAGTACTGTCTGCAATATACAAAGTCGACTGGAAGAAGTCCTCGACCTCCGCATACATGAAGTCATAGCAAGAAGCAGTGAAAGCCACAGCAGAGATTGGATGGAGCATAATTTTTTCTATGTCTCGGCGCCTCTATGGATGTCATATTTAGATCAGGTACATAACACAGACTAATGTCTTAACAAAGACACTATTGACTATTTTTTTCAAATTGAAAAAGGGAAAGTTCAAGAAAAATTGATAGCAAACATACAGGCTGACTGCCAGTAAAAGTCATCAGTCCTGCTAAAAATCTACCAGCCTTAGAAAATAATTGTCTATTGTAAAATTGATTTTCGAAACTAGAGGTACTGTGAGCAATGAGCAAATGATACCCCCCCCCCCCCCCCGCGCGCCTGAACTAAGTTATGCACGCCTCCGCCTCCCCCCTTTTAATCACAAATCCTGTACTGCTCATGATACCATTAGTTGATTCGGAAGCGATTAATCAAATTAATAAATTTTAATTAATGAAAACTTTAAACAAGTCCAGCTAGGCGCAATATGTGCAAATTGGTAAGCCCACTGCAAAATTTGTGCGTATCGGGCGGTCAGGCGCACTGTTATTTCAAACACTGTTTTCAGAATGGCCAATGGGTCCTTCTTAAAATCGTGAATATTTAATTAAGCCCTGAAAAAAACCCAGATGATATGGCAAAACCATATTTACTATTTTTCTTATTCATTTAATCAAAATGTACAATTATTGTGCCCTTTCAAACTCTATATTTCCAAACTTATATGTGTATGATATTCTTCAAATGCACTTTCTTTTATTTGAATTATAAATAAGGGTGAGGAGTCCTACAAAATTTAATTGACAAGCAAAACAACCAATAAAATACTGTTATGGTTTTATCAGTTGAAACTGGGGGGGGTGTTAACCTCCCCAAAAAAATTTTTAAAAAGCCATAAAACCCTATCCGAATGGGGGGGGGGGGGGCTTCCTAAAATTCCTACAAGCAAATATATACACACATACATACATACATGTAGAAGGAGAGAGATTAATAAATATGAGAGCACATACAATATGCATGGGTTTCTGCCAATGTTTTTGTCTAATTTAGGTTTAAAACTTAAAAAATAAAATTTGATCCTACGAAACTATAACTCTTTTTCAATTTATAACTAATAGTATGAATTCATGATGATATCACTAGTACATGGGGGAGGGGGGGGGGGAGGTAAATAAATATTTGATTATCAATGATTCAAGTGATATTAAATATACTTAATATTATTGATGTATCATTAGATAATTTGGTATTTTGTGTTGACAATTTTCAGTTTTTTTAATTATCATTAAGAACATTCCTTTTCGTTTAGCAAGCAAGGACCTTCTGACTAAGGGCTGAATTAAAGTGAACACTGCCATTCAGAGACTTTCAAACAGGTATTTCTTCTGATCTTGATTCTCTGAATTTTTTAGCTCACCTGAGTCGAAGGCTCAAGTGATCTCTTCTGATCAAAGTTTGTCTTTTATCTGTCATTGTCATTCTTCAAGCAGAGAGAATTACAAAATTAATAGCATTGCTGATATCTTCTCAAGAACCAATGGCCCAGGAAAGATGAAACTTATGCGGAACCAATTTCTGGTATGGTAGATTTAAATTTTTCAATTCATGAACCCCAGGGTAGGACGGGGCCACAACGGATGATCAAAGTTTAACATAAGAATATATAAAAAAATATTTGAAATCTTCTTCTAGGATACATCAAGCCTTGATTGGTACTATTAATATAAAAGCATTTTCAGGTGGTGTAGATTAAAGTTTGTCAAATCATGACCACGGTGATAGGGTTGGACCACAAAGGCCAATAAAAGTTTTACATAAGAATATAGAGGAAAAATCCTTTAAAAATATTCTTCTAAAGAACAGAAAAGCCAGTAAGTTATATATATACATATGGAAGCATATTCTCGTAGTGTAGATTTGTTCAAATCATGACACCCCCCCCCCCCCCCCAGGTATAGGGTGGGGCCACAATAAAATTTCAAACTTGTAGGGAAAAACTCACTCAATTATATTTTTTCCAGATTGATGAATCAACCACATGCATTATGTCAGAGGAATTTAGCTGGAGCACCTATTTAGCAGCCAGGACACATAGATGTACCTGTACAGTTTATACAGATAATCTCAACAACACATTTCTAAACGATGGCCAAAAAAATCTAATAAAGGCACCGTCAGTTTAAAACCTTTTGAAAGAAATCCAGACCAGAAACAAAGGATATTGATTTTTACGCTCCTCCAAATGTAAAAGGGGT